TATGAACAATCCTTGATTTAAAGTTAAACTGACCCCTTGATAACTCCCCTCCCCTTCAACAAATAATTTATGAATATTGCCTGGTAATAATTTGACAGATTTTACTGCTCTGTAGAAATTATTGGATCAGAGATTTGTTCTGCCAGCTCAGGCCCAATGTTTACAAAGAATTTATTGAAACTATAAGCCACTTCATTCATGTCATAATTATCTTTATTATTAATTGAAAAATGTTTTGGGTAATTTACTTGTTTATGCCCATTTTTTATTACAGAAACTTGAAAATATTACTGTTGTTGAGAGTTGGTGTGAAGGAATGAATCATCAACAAGGAGGCAGTGTCCCTCTGACCAGCACGGAGGCTCGCCCCCCACCATCAGCTTACACAAAGGAGGGATCTGCAGACCTGGAAAACAAACAAACAAAAAAAAGATTCAGCTTCTGTTATGTCTGCTTTTAAAACCGAGAGGATTAAAGAAGCCAGCTTGGTCAATTACTAAAACAAACTACCATGGAAATTAACCTAAACTTTTTGCTAATGCATTGCAAATAATTTATGTAACTTTGAGCACAATGTTCTGTCCTGTCATATTTTTAAGCAGATATCCTGCACAGGTTTGCATAATTTTGCATCATGCTTAGTTGTCAGCAATTATTTGCAGCAAAGTTCATGTGAAGTTCAGACAAATGTTAAAGAGATGCAGACTTCATTGCAGAAAGTCACATCCTGCCGTGCGAGACAAATGGTTTACAAAGCGAGATGACAGCGTAGGCGTGTTGTTGGGTCCGTATGAGCTCCTCAGGGTAGCTCCAGGTCCCAGCAGCCAAAACCCCACAGATCCCAGTGAGGTGATGCTGATGAATCTATGTAAAGAGCGAAGGTGCAGGGACAGGAGCAACAGTTTCCTGCCACGCAGACGCCGGCACTGTGTGAGGKAAACATTAGCCCTGAAAGAGAAAATGACGCTCAGTTTCACACATAGCCATTATTCCACATCCAGTAAAGACAGAACTGAGGGGAAGCTTCAGGAAGTTTATATCTCTGTGTAAACTTTCTACTTGAGACTAAGTTTGTGACATACTGTAAATAGGCCCAGATGTGACAAAATGGTAAGGTCGTTGGACTCTAATTTAAAAAAAATCTTAAACTTCTAATAAATACAAAAGCAAGATGTGATAAGAACAAGGTAACAGGATCTAAAGGGACAGTTTGGGCATTTTAAAATGGAATAATCTGGAAATATTTTAAAGATAAATACTTCGTAAATCTGATTTAACACAACCATGAATGAAGTGGACTAGCTATCTGAAAATAACTCAAGGGTTGAAAATGATCTGTCTCTTTGAAAATAGTTATTTTTGATATAAAATGTGTATACTCTATGCATCTAAAAGTCAAATAAAGATTATGTCTAAAAATGAGAAATGGTTATGGAGGACATTTACTTGTGGCAAATTGATAAGAATAATTGAACATACTGTGATTGAATATCCAAAAATGTCAAAACTCCTCAGAAAAGCAAACAAATTTTTGGTTTTATTTATTATAGTTTTTGGTTTTATAGTTATTGTCCTCACAGTTAGTTCTGTAAAGGTTTAGTTGAGTACCTTTGGTCTCACACAGGTCCAGCCTGATTTTAAATTGACGCCTCYCTTGTAAACAACCTGAAATTCAGCTAAGATTGCAGAGTAGTTGACCTCTAGAACCTCAATATCATGTTTGTGAGTGTCGTGCGGGGGAAAGGAACACTTGTGTCATCTGGCAGGAAGAAAAGATGAGGCTTCTTTATCYTAAAGAGATCCTTCTGTCTGACCTAAAGTGGGAAGATTGACACATTAGTGACAATTTGTTGCCGATATTTTCATTCTTTTTGTGTTTCTCTTTGAATAAATTATCCTAATGTCATAAAAACACAGTAGGATGCAGCTGATCTTACCTGCTCATGGAGGCCCTTATGAATGTGTCCCATGCCCACCCAGCTGTAATARTTAGTGTAGCTTCTTGGCTTCTGCAGACGCCTGAGCTGGGAACAAGGCATGACTCAGCACTGGGGGGAGGTAGGCTTGTCCCTGCTCTATATCCTTCAACGTTTCCATGGAAATAAAGGAGTCACTRCTGGACAGTTTGGACCGTGAGTTGCACTTGGTTCGAATGCAGGGGATTGTGGAGTGCCTGCATTGGGCCTGGAAGCGGCAGATCGGAGCCGATCCGATAGCAGTGTCACAGGAAGAGGAGCAGCAGAGACCACAGGAGGAGCAGACACCTATAGGTCAACATGCTGAGGCAGAGGCAGYGTGTTCATCAACCAGTGCATCCTTTCAACTTCGGATGCTGAAAAACGGACAAATAAACAAATTTCAAAAAGAAATCTGGCTTCAGCTAATMYAACTGAGAAAACACAAAAATAGTTCAAACTCAGCCAGTTTTACAGCTACTGAGCGTAGAGTTGATGTGCTGGTAGCTGAGAGTCATCCTTAAAATGTACTCTAAGCAAAAACTGAAGCACAAGACCTGTTTTTAAAACTTACACTCAAATCTGCCTGTCTGTTAGCAAACTATCTCTTGGACCATTAGCTTCATTTTAAAGAATTTCTCCAAAAATGATCACTTGAGGATGTAGGATACATTACTTTAATAACAAAAATCTGTTAAATTGTTAAAACAATTCCAAACTTGTTTTCTGTGGTATTTCCAGTTACTTGAAGCTGTTCCTTCCAGTGAGATTTATTTTAAATTACTGACATTTAGAAGCTACTAACAACAGTTGAAAGTAATTATTCTGTCAAAACAATAAACAAACAAATATTGCTATTGCATTGTTTGCTTACCAGAGGGAATTTTTCAAATGGTGCATTTTGACTGAGCATAAATTAGATTTTATAAAGGTTATTAAAAAGTTAATGATATCCAGAAAGCATGTTAGTTGTCTGATTTAATCAAAAGTATGTAATTCAGGCCCATAGCCAGGATTGTGAGTGTTTTTTTTTTTTTTTTTGAAAAATGTGGACCTTTAAGTCGGGGGTATGGGGGGCCACAAGGCAACGCCCCGATGGGGAACACAGGGGGGGGGGGGGTGAAGCAGTGTAATTCTGATGCACTGTACATGGTCTGCTGAGAAGTTATCAATAGACATTTTAGTTTTGTGGCTCAAAGTGAAACAGGAAGTGACATCAAAGGGGAACTCTWTAAGGAAAGGAACACTGGTCTTTGTTTATGGAAACAACATTATTTGAACTCTAACTCTTTATCTTTAAAGAAACATCAGATTCTATAATCTGTGCTGACATCCCGCTTTGACATCACTTCCTGTTATTTCACATGCAAATATCTTAACATCATCTCAGCCATGTGAAAATATTTGTGTAACATGTTATTTGTGTTAACTTTCCAAAACTGCATTAATGTTTATTATTAATAAATGATGTCACAGACACTTTTAAAACAGATCTTCACATGTCACAACGTTTTTAAAGTCTTTTAGACACTTAGTCCCTCGCAGCCTGACACAAAGACACAATTTGCTCTCAGTTCTTTAATTATATGAGCTGATGATGACAAACAGGAAATGATCAATTGAAGGATGATGCACCTCTCAGGTCTTTGCTGGACTTGTTCCTGGTTTTTACAAGTTAATCTGCTGTAGGTATCAGTTTAAATTTGACACTTTTTCTAATGTCCTCTACTCGTCCTCTTTCCTGTTTTAAGTAAACCTCACAAAATGATGCCATAGTTAGATACAAGGAACTGCATCACGCTTTTGCAGCTTCTGTCCTAAACCATTTGGTTTAACTTTTTGCATTCGGACCACTCTGACAGTCAAGACCGTTAAAACCACAGTATGCTTCAGATCTGTCTCTATCACAGTAGGTGCAGGATTTGAACACAGAATGCTATGGGGCACCAAGTGTAAAATGAAATGTTAAAAAATTCAGTAACATATTTTTTTATTATTTAGCTCACTGTTCCTAATTTTTACTAAATGTTAAATTAAACATTAAAAAATATATTTAAATATTAAATTCTAAACAATCAGATTTAAACATCTGAATGTTTGAATCATAATTTAACTTCAACACTTAGGGTTTCGCTTTTACATTTAGGATTTAATATTTAAATGTATTTTTAACATTTAAATTTAACATTTAGTAAAAATTAGCTAAATGTAAAAAAACAGCGAGATAAGTAACAATAAAATGTTAGTGAAAAAATTTCAACACTCAAAAAGTGAGTAATGAAAAATATGCTAGTGATTTTTTTAACATTTCATATTACACCTGGCGTCCCATAGAATGTAGGCAAGCTGGAAGATCAAAATAAAACTCATGTAATAAATGAATAAAAACAAAATGCATGGTGGCAACAAACMTATAAGAAACACAGGGAGCAAGTGACGACCAAGATGAACCAGCGAAGTTTTATTCTTAAATACTTCTGTTTTTTTATCAGTTTATTTGGCTGAATTGTGACGTGCTTTGGTCAACTTCTGTTGTTTTTTATGTGCAATATAAATTAATTGACATTGACTGGACTGAATCCAACTAAAGTCCAAAAAATTTCAAAACGTTAAAAAAAATCTATTAATCTGAACTCCTTTAAAAGATTACAGGAAATTCTGGTTGATTGAAAGTAAAATATAAGTAAACTAGATTWAAATAGTCCTGTCTTATTGTGGAACATTTGTGTTGTTCATGTTGCTTTGCATACAAGGAGAATATTGATGTGAGGGCTGCTCACTAATAGGCTTTTAACCTGCAGGCTCTGTGATTCACTAATTGTGGACGATGTTCTTGCAGCAGCTCTAATTTATTTATTTAATTAATTAATTGTTTATTTTTGCTCTGCGCCAGCTCCCACAGCAGCAGCTGGCTCCATGTTTACAGTGCCACGTTAGCTTTAAACCTCTATTTCAACAAAGTGTTATCTTGCCTTTTGTACCCCATGCATATTATGTGGCACATGCGGGCGTTCAAAATGACGTTTGCTCACAGATTACCTTGAGTCCGGGCAGCTTCAGCACCGAGTKGGTGTGGACAGCTCCTGCAGCGCTCGCAAAACAAAATGTGGACCAGCAGCAGCAGCGCGCGGCAGGCTGCAGTTCCACCGTCCCGCCGCCAGGGCGCACCTGACGCTCCCAACACGAATGCCCTCACATCACAGCCGAATGCGTCAACCGAACCACCACACGGCTACCAGCTAGAGGCGATCTCACCAGCACAAACCCCGCCGCGTTTTACGGCCCTGAGCAACAGGACACACCGCCGACATCAAAGAAAACAACAAGGAGGAGGAGAGAGATAAAACACTGGGTTCAACCTGGAAGGCAGGTAAGCGGCTGGCAGCCTTTCGTTGTTGCTGCGGTGATGTAAAAAAAAAAAAAAAAAAAAAAAAAGGGCCGGGGGAGAAGGGGGGATAGAGAGGCGCGAGGGATGCTGTCTCGAATAGCCCCCCATCATTTTGTCACTCACAGGGGAGACACCTCTGAAAACAACAGAGGAGGGCTGTTTTTATTTACATGTTGGAAACGATTAGATTGAAAATCTACACCTGGCTGCAGCTAATTAATTAGCTGAATGGTTTTTTTTTTTTAATAGCGCATTTTTTTCAGCGGGTTGTTGCAGATTTGGGTGAGAAAAATGTAGAGGGAGGAGGGATGATGAAAGGGATAAGCCTGAATATTTGATCTTTTTTTTTCCATTATTTGTGGGAAAAAATGCTTGTTATCTAATCTTTTCGTCGGGTCCTGAATTTTGCTCTTGACAGTGGGTTGTGAGGTAGAGATGATCTGATTCTCCTCATTTTGTGGCCTGTGTGTGTTTGATGTAAACATTTTTTTACTTCAGATTTGCAGTTGTCTTAGGAATAGTGAACCATTGCCATGTTTTTATTGTGATAACCTTTCAAAAGCAGTAAATAGCAATGAAACAATCACATTTAATGACAGTAATTAATAATCGACTTTAACCTTCGCAGGTCGTTTAGTTTCACCCAGAAACATGAGGGGGTTCACACACCTTGCTGTGATGCTGTCTGTCACCACAATGGTGTCAGGTAATTATCTTTATTTTGCTACCTCACTCAGACAATTGATTTGTTTTTAATGCATTTCCAATAACACAAGTCTCTGCTTTTTTTTTTTCAGGTATGAGCTTCATGGCTCCCAAGACTGATACACCACCCACAGCATCTCCAGACTCCTACCCACCAGGTGACCTGATCCACGCAGCCCTGCAGAGCAAGGAGTATTTAGGAACAGGTAACAGGACACCCACGTTCATATTCAAACAGCAGCTAATTGCTTATCAGAAATGACGCAATCAAAACTTTGGATCTTTTAGGCACCACCACCAATCCAACGCAGGCCGTGCCCGGGCATGGCCAGACTGAGTCAACAGCGACGGCAATCTCACCGGGGCTTCTCACCACAGCTTTACACCCCTCATCAGCTGCTGGCCTGTCAGGATCCAGGAACCCCATGTCCTTGTTGCCCCTAGAGGAGGAGACAACCACCACCCTGATCACCACGACCACCATAACCACCATGCACACACCAGGTACACGTTCGCCTCCAAATGACGAAACAAATCTTTCATGTGGGTTTCGCTGTCTTGTGGCGAAACATTTGGAGAAAAAATAAACGTCTGACATAAAAGCATCATAAAATATTCATCAGGATATACAGTCATGAAAAAGTTTGGGTGCCCTTGTTAATTTTGCTGATTGACCTTTATAAATCATTGATTGTTTGGATAAAAAAATCAGTTTAATATATCATATAGGGGACAAACACAATAATATTTGAGAAGTGAAATGAAATTTATATGACAGGGCTATTCAACTGCCGGCCCACAGGCCAAATCCAGCCCGCGAGTGACCAAAGTTCAGCCCACCAATTGGTTCATTCATCTCTTAAGCCCAAACCTTGGTTTTCTACTTTAATTACTCTAAATTCTTTTAGCTAAACAGACATGTTTGGTTTCTATAGAAACGTCAGAATCTTGGCTACAAGCTGGTATAAACCATTTCTATGCACCCTTAAGACAGTTAAAGCTACAAGCAATTGAATATAAAACTATGAAAGTGAAAATAAAATCGGTTTAAAATTTTGGCAAGTCAGAGATGTCAAAATAATATTTGTGTCAAATAGGAGGCATAATGTGTTCTTTTTGTTTTTGATATTGTTGAATTATCACTACTTTTATAGGTTGTATTCATGATTAAATGCATCAAAATAAACTATTTCAAAGATAACAGATCTTTGTAATACTTGGTTTATTTACATAATAACTTAAATTGCTGGATGTTCGGCCCTTCAGCTGTTGACCTGCAGTAACTGTGGTTCCCGGAGCAATTTAGTTGAATAGCCCTGTTAAATGATTTACAGAAAGTGTGCAATAAATGGTTAAACAAAATTAGGCAGGTGCATAAATTTTGGCACCAAAAAAAAAANAATAAACACTTTAATATGACTTTTGTTTACACACTAATATCAGTGACAGGTTTTTCCAGTTGTTAACACAGTAAAATGACGTCCACAGTACAGTTATTTTAAATGACACACAAAGAGCAAAACCTCCTTTCAAGTTTTCAAAAGTCAAAACACATTTTCTGCTTTAAAACACTTTTTGCTGTTAAAAATGACACTTTTTCAATGAACTGAACATGGTTCTCTGCAGAAGACACAACAATCTGACATAAAGTCACGTCTTCAATTTCAAAACATTGCCATTCAAAATGAAAATACATCAGCTAATTGTTCAAAACATGTTCCACCTGGCTAACTTTGCATTTTTATGTATTTTATGAACAAACTGAGGCATGGCCTGACGGAGAGGGGACAGAATTAGAGTGACTGAAGCAGTAACATACAAAATAATCATGGAGCCTAAAGAAAAACATTCAAACTCGAAGCAATCAGTGTCAAACTTGCGGTGACACATCCTGTTTGGGTAACTGGATATTTCAAAATAAAGCCTATGAATCATTTGAAAGTAAATTTTCTGTAAAGCACTTTGTGATGTTTGTGTCTGTGAAAGGTGCTAAAAATAAAATATACTTTGACATCATTTTGATAACTTTATTTTGTGGGGAGGAAAGAGCTTCTGCCACAAACTCAGCTGATTGGTCCAGTACCTGTTCTGATGTTTCACAATTATAACAGAACTATACATGATCTCCTAACTTCTCATTAATATTTCCAGATTTCACTTTTAGGCACTTTAACTATTACTCTGGATTAAAGAGTGAACTGAAGCATGCTAATTTAGGATTAAAAATATTTGTCATTTGGAAACATGGTGCTGATCTTCTGCAGTTAAAGTGTTCTCAGTTGAACAGCCTGCTGTTTGTGGCTGAGCTCGTGCAGAAGGTGGAACAGAGAGTGTATTATATGTTATAATGGAAGCTRAGTGATTTGGCTTTATCTGATTCTGCACTGAGCAGTTCAGCTGCGTGCCTTCACTGTTTCTGTTAATGAGCAGAAACACAGCATTTAGTTAAAGTTTGAGAGCTGAAGCTAAAACAGTCCTTCAAACAAGATTTTTGTTGATGCAGTTATTTTTCATTTGTGTTAAACTGTGGTTTCCTTTGAATTGGTGACCCTACTTTTAAAAGTAAAGAAGCCTGGCATTCTTTCAAGAAAATGCATCTTGCCTGCTGCTGCTCATGTTGGAGCCCTGGACCAGAGGTGGATCTAGGATTTGTCTGAGTCAGAGGCCAAGTCTTTGTTCAACATCCTTTCACACAAATCCCAGTTTTGGTAAGGTGTTGACATTTACCCAGTCATACATGTTCAAACACTTTTTATTTAAGTTTTTTTTTTTAAATGGTAACAC